GATTTTGGGTGGATTTGGGTGGAATTTGGGTGGATTTTGGGTGGATTTTGGGCAGATTTGGGTGGATTTTGGGTGAATTTGGGTGGATTTTGGGTGAATTTCGGGGTGTTTTGTCCCGATTTCGGGTGATTTTGGGTGAATTTTGGGTGGATTCGGGTGGATTTTGGGTGAATTCTGATGAATTCCGGGGCGTTTTGTCCCGATTTCGGGTGGATTTGGGTGGATTTGGGTGAATTTTGGGCGATTCTGATGAATTCCGGGTGGTTTTGTCCCAATTTCGGGTGATTTCGGGTGATTTCGGGTGGATTTGGGTGAATTTTGGGTGTTTCTGATGAATTCCGGGTGGTTTTGTCCCGATTTCGGGTGATTTTGGGTGGATTTGGGTGGTTTTTGGGTGGATTTCGGGTGGATTTTGGGTGAATTTTGGGCGTTTCTGATGAATTCCGGGCGGTTTTTCACCAATTTCGGGTGATTTCGGGTGATTTTGGGTGAATTTGGGCTGATTTGGGTGAATTTTGGGCGATTCTGATGAATTCCGGGCTGTTTTTCACCAATTTCGGGTGATTTCGGGTGATTTTGGGTGAATTTTGGGCGATTCTGATGAATTCCGGGCTGTTTTGCCCCGATTTCGGGTGATTTTGGGTGGATTTGGGTGGTTTTTGGGTGGATTTCGGGTGGATTTTGGGTGAATTTTGGGCGTTTCTGATGAATTCCGGGCTGTTTTGTCCCAATTTGGGGTGATTTTCCCCCGATTTGGGGTGTTTTTGCCCCCCCAGGTGGCACAAGTTCCGCACCCTCTGCGACTACAACAAGCGGGTGGCTCTGGGTAAGTGGGCGTGGCCACCCCGAAAGGGGGCGTGGCCACCTCCAAAGGGGGCGTGGCCACCTCCAAAGGGGGCGTGGCCACCTCCCCATTTAACATACCAGAGTGGGCGTGGCTTGGCTTGGTGGGGGCGTGGCTTAATCCTTGGTGGGTGGAGTCAAAGGGTTAATTGGGATGCAAATAAAGAGTGGGCGTGTCCACGCGGGGGGGTGTGGCCAAACCGATTGTGGGCGTGGCTTAATTAAAGTGGGCAGGGCTAGGGCGGTTTAATTACCTTAATTATCGGGTTTTTAATTGAGTGGGCAGGGCCAGGAGGAGGGGGGGCGTGTCCAGGGTCAAAGTGGGCGTGGCTCGTTGAAAGTGGGCGTGGCCAACCACCCATTTATTCCCCATTTTAGGGGGGTCTTTTGAGTGGGAGGAGCCATTTTTAATAGGTGGGCGGGGCTTATCAATAACTGGGCGTGTCCTGGGGAGAAGTGGGCGTGGCCAGGGCCAAAGTGGGCGTGGCCAACGCCCATCTACCCCCCCAATTTAGCAGGTTAATGAATGGGAGGGGCCGATTTTTAATGAGTGGGCGGAGCTTATCAATAACTGGGCGTGTCCTGGGGAGAAGTGGGCGTGGCTAGTTGAAAGTGGGCGTGGCCAACGACCATCTACCCCCCAATTTAGCGGGTTAATGAAGGGGGGGGGGGCAATTTTTAATGGGTGGGCGGAGCTTATGGACAAGTGGGCGTGTCCTAGTGATAAGTGGGCGTGTCCCTCCGCTGACCACGCCCCTTTTTCACCCCCCCCCCCAGCCCTGGAGGTGGGGCCGGACCTGCCGTCGGGCCCCGCCCTGTCCCGCTGGTTGGGGGAGCCCGTGAGGGCGGCCCTGCTGCCCACCCGCCTCTTCCTCACCAACAAGAAGGGCTTCCCCGTGCTGGGCAGGGCCCACCAGCGCCTCCTGGGCCAGCTGCTCAAGGTTTGCACTGGTTTATACTGGTTTATACTGGTTTGGACTGGTTTGGACTGGTTCGGGTTGGGATGGACTGGGCGGGTACTGGGATGGACTGGGAGGGCACTGGGAGCAACTGGGAGGGCACTGGGAGCAACTGGGAGGGTGTCAGAGCCAATTTGGGGGCACTGGTTTATACTGGGAGAACACTGGTCCATACTGGTTTATACTGGTCTATAATGATCCATACTGGTCCATACTGGTCTATACTGGTTTATACTGGTTTCCCGCGCAGCTGGACGTGCAGATCATCCTGCAGGGGGCGCCCCTGTCCATACTGGGCCATACTGGTCCATGTCACTCCATACTGGTCCGTGTTACTCTATACTGGTCCATACTGGTTTATACTGGTCTATACTGGTTTATACTGGTTTTTTGCACAGCTGGACGTGCAGATCATCCTGCAGGGGGCGCCCCTGTCCATACTGGGCCGTACTGGGCCATGTCACTCCTTACTGGGCCATGTCACTCCATACTGGTCCATGTTACTCTATACTGGTTTATACTGGTCTGTACTGGGTTATACTGGTTTTTACTGGTTTTTTGGGCAGCTGGACGTGCAGATCATCCTGCAGGGGGCGCCCCTGTCCATACTGGGCCATACTGGGCCATGTTACTCCATACTGGTCCATGTCACTCCATACTGGGCCATGTTACTCTATACTGGTCCGTACTGGTTTATACTGGTCTATACTGGTTTTTACTGGTTTCCCACGCAGCTGGACGTGCAGATCATCCTGCAGGGGGCGCCGCGGCACGGGGGCCGCCCCCTGGGGGCGTACCTGCAGTACCTGGAGCACCTGGGGCAGCACCGGCCCCCGCCCTCGGCCTACGAGCTCTACGCCCGCGGCTACGAGGACTACCTGCAGAGCCCCCTGCAGGTGGGCGGGGCCTGGGGGGGTGGGAGGGGCCTCGGGACAAAGGGGAGGGGCTTACAGTACAGTGGGAGGGGCCTCGGGGTAAAGGGGAGGGGTTTAGAGGGGGAGGGTGTGGTCAAAGGGAGGGTGGATTGGGGACGACCTGCAGAGCCCCCTGCAGGTGGGCGGGGCCTGGGGGGTGGGAG